CGAACTAGTCTTACGAAAAGTCTTCCAGAACACCGCATAACGAAACGCCGGGAAATTGGGAGCCAACTGGGAAGGACCATACAGGGTCAAAATGGTAGTCCGTCCGGGAGCGTATGATATCGCTAACATGCAGGGCACCAAAATTCCCCGGTCGTGGAACGCGATGCATCTCAAAAAATACTATCACTAGGCAACACGCCCGCAAAACACTGAACTACGACACGGATTGATCTCCCCTAAAGAGTACGTAGGCATCTTGTCACAAGATGAGACCAGCTGTCCCCCCTCACTAAAAAGGGGGGGGGGTAGGTGAGTATACGTATACTCCCGAAATTTCAAACTCGAAATTTCTGAAACTTTTTTCAGGAACACAGCGAAAGAAAAAACGAAATTCTGAATAAAGCGAGACAAGGCCAATATTCGGAAAAACGTTCCTCTCCAAAATAACAACAGTAAATAGTCCGTCCACAACTATAAAAACGTACACAGATTCTTAAGATATAATTCCTTCGCGAAGGACCAAAAGACATAAACATCTATCCCCTAAAAATAGTTTGTTGCTGATCACAACAAAATCGCAACAGTCCTAAAAAAACTTAAGTTATCTCGCAGAGATAGCTCTCGAACACCCAACACAAGGTTAATAGCGCTATAAAAGAAATTTAAACTTTTGGTCAGCACTTCTGGGAAACTTAGAAATTGTTCCCGGTGAGATGCTCGATTCCAACCAGACGAATCGTCTAAGCCGAGAACCTATCGTGGATTCTAAATCGGTATGGAATCATGTTAAAATTGCAACAAGCAAAACGAAAGCCGACTAGTCATCGCATAGCCTCAATCCGAAAGAAAACCTAGGTCTTGCCCTAAACCCAACACACTGGTCTCTAACGTCTCAAGGTATGAATCGAGATCCTAAAGGCATGTCTCTTCGTTCATATCTAAACGCTCACTCGATTTACTAAACATCCTAAAATGAGCAAACAAATAAGGCGATCCACGAAGGAAAAGGAATGCGAGACGACAACTCGCGGACCGCTCTCAATATCAACTCGAAGCAAAAGGTTTAAACGAAAAAACTGATTGTTCATTATAAAAAGTTGCCGAAGCAACAAGGGATTCAAAGCCGTAAAAGGCCAGTCCCGAACAAATACAAAAGCCATTTTCGGCCAAATACATAAAAATCTAATTCTTAAGTCTCATACGAGACTACAACTTCAGATACCCTCCGCGCGCGGAGTCTCATCCTCATCCATCGCATCACCTGCACACGCGACAACACCTTCACCTTTGTCAGCAATCTCCGGAGCATTGCTCTCATCGGCGCCAGGCTGAAGGGCGCACTCAACGCCAGGAATTGGGTCAGAGTCACTTCCCTCGACGGGAACATCCCCTATGGTCGCACGGACCTCCGATCCCTCGAAGCTCTTCATCTTGCGCTGAAGTCTGAGCAGCTCCGAAGCCTTGGATTTTTTCCGCATCCTTCGCCTTTAGCAAAGAAATCACGGTGTTTCCAAGATCACGCTCCAAGTCGCTGGTCATGGCCTCGAACCGAGACACCTCCGCGGAATGCACATCTTCTATCACCTTCAGCTTCCCTTCAAGCTGAGCGGACCTCTCCTGCTACTCAGCCAACTCCTTAGCCAAACGCTCAACTTCAGACCCGCACTCTTTGATCACTCCATCGATCAACGAAACGAACTGAAAAAGCCAAGATAGATGATCAGGAACCAATTAAAAATAATAATAAAAAGGTGTACTCGCGAACCTATACCTTGGCACGGTGTTGCGACATCAAACCCGAGGTTGGCGCCTTGCACGACGAAGCACCAGACTCCGGATCCTTCGCGCATCTCTTTCTTTTGGGAGCATCAGAGTTCGCGCTAGGTCTCTTACGACCATTGGCTGGAGCAGGTAGTGGTGCACTAAGCTCCGGGAGTCCCAGAACGATCACCCTCTTGGCCGGAGGAGGAGGCTTCAAGGTCGTAACCGGCTCGACCTCGGTAGGAGCCGCAACCGTTTCGATCTTTGGCGGGAAACGCTGCAGTTTCGACCTCAGTAACGGGTGGAACAGTGGATGAACTCGATGGCTCGATGGTAGCGCTTGCCGAAGGTTTCGTTACGGCACTCGCCGCTTCCTTCAGGATAGCCTCGGAATCTTTCGCAGGGATGGGCAGGTCCACCGGGGCTGCACAAGCCGGCGCCGTGGTTTCCTCAGCATCGCTGCGATCCATCTCCTCCTGGACCAAGAGGAACTCGGAAATGCGAGCATCCTGCAAATCCGTCGTAAGCTTATCACTAGCCGAGACTTCATCGTTTTGATGATCACCTAGGATAGAAGACATCTTGATAATTTTCTAGAGAGAAGTTGGATTGGAATTTGAAAGGTTGAAGATATGTGAAGTAATGATCCCATACTTATAGAATAGAAGAGCTCATCTTTCCCAATGAGACAAATCACAGATGTGGATTTCGATTAAAACAACTCCATCCGCCCGCAAAAACTTTCTTTGAAACTAGCGAGCTGGGGGGCTAACTGTTGGTGTCAAAAACCGTAATCTCAAAATCAACGTCTACGATCATTTCTTTTAAGATCAAAATCGTTACTTTCCGCAAAATAAAAATACGTTTTATAAAACACGATAAGTTGTTTTATAAAACTCTAAGGACTTTCCGAAACGAAGGAAATCCGCGGAAAATTTCAAAATCGTCATCTTAGAAAAACGAACGAAACAAACACCGATTAAATGATTGCCCAAGTTAAGCGCAAAACCGCGAAAAAACCGCATCCGCCGTAAAACCGTGAGCTGGTTCAACCAAACCAGGTCGCCGTACGGCAAGCTAGGTGGCAACGGAGTAGCTCGCCGTACGGCTAGCTGGTCTAGGTGGAAACGGACTAGCTCGCCGTACGTCCTTCGGTTCGATCACCGCGTCATTGACACAAGCCATACGTCCTTTGGTTCGATCATGCTATGAACCATGGTCGAAACCTCTCTCGTTTCATCTCGATCCATCTTATCGTTCAAGTTTTACGATAAAAATCCTAAAAGTCTTCTTTTCTCGTAAAGTTCGGGAAGATCGTATTAAACGGCAACGATTAGAAGGAACATCTTGCATTTTCAAACTATATGATCAACTCGAGAAATCTTATAGAACGGCATCGTATCAGGAAACGGTGTCGTCTAAAATCGTAAAACGGTTTCTATGGCAAAACGGCTCGGACAGTCTAAAAGTGCGATAAAAGTCCACTTGCAACTTTAAACGAAATCCAGCCCAAAGATATAATGACGGTTTAACGATTTACTCACAGAAAGAAGATATATGTCATGTTTGAAGATAAATGTCAAGTTTGAAGATAAAAAGAAGATTTTCGTAGGGAAAAAGGAAAGATCGAGATAAATGGAAGATTCCCGATAAACTCGAATCTGGGCGAAAAGGAAGGACTAAACCGCCTAAGGAGGGAGTATATAAGAAGAAGGCAAAAGACAGAAGCAAAGGACGAGTTTTTCAGAGCTCTCATCACCATAACTTTGTACTTAGGAATATTCCCGTTTTTGTTATCGAGCTGCGTATCAAATAGGGTTTTAGTCTTAAAATTGATAGAACTAGGAATCTCGCCAACGGCTCTCGCAGCTAGGGCTACTCTTGTTGTAGCTTTCTTACGCAAATACGGTATAAGATCCTTTTTGCTCTCAATCTCATTTTCTTTTACATATTTTAATTATCCATATTGTGTTCTTGATTGCTTGTATGCGGTTCCGCAGATAGTCGGGTTCTCTGGGAAATTAGGATTTACTCTAAATTCTTAAAATTACGTAAAATCGATAGGGATGAACTTCGATTCCCACAAAGACGACTAAAATGCTCATTATTGCTTCATGAGTTTGATACGATCAAATATTCGACCAGTCCAGAATTCATCATCCGAAAAAACAGATAAACAAGGCCTCTCGCTGGGAGGACTGAAACAATTATAAACAGAAACATATTATTATCATTTCGTGATAATAAGGATTCTCTTCCACCTAGAAAAGAATAAGAAAAAGCTCTTGAACTTGGGCACATATGCTCTTCCCATAAAGAGGACCCCACTTCGAGAAGACTAAGCCTGAGACTATTCCCCTCTAGGCAACATAAACGACAACAAAGCCCATCACATTCCCATCGCTATGTTATTGGATCATTAAGTCAGCATGATGATCGGATAATTTACCAACTTCGTAACTTGTTCGACAAGGAGATAAAAAAAAAGTTTAATATCAAATCCACACTAACGACTCCGTTAACGACATCCCGAGGTGGTGGACTCATGATTTAAAAAGACCAAAACCACACGGTCCTTACCGTTGTTTTACAAATCAACTACAGTCATGTATCTGACCCAAACGACGTTCTCCCTCTAAGAACACAACTCATCGAATCCTCGAGTTAGAGACTTATAGATGAGAGAAGATGTTGATAAGTATCGATGATTGGCTTAAAAAGAAAAAGGCTTATCCTACAAAAAGAACAAAAGACACACAAGGATATGGTTTTCTCCACCACGTGGTCGGTATCACAAGAAGGAGGAGGCTTTATTACTAGTCTTTATATCAGACACGTGCCTTTTCCATGATCCCACTCAACTTAACTTCTTAGCAAAAGAAACAACCACAAAAATGCTGTTCGTTTGATTGACGCAGCCACCTGCAGCTGCGTCTGCATCAATGTTTTAAGAAAATCTTATTCGCTTTGTTGACGTCGTTGTTGCGTTTGCATCTGCGTCTAAACGTTGCGTTTATGCGTCAGTAAAAATTGAACGCCGGAAAAATTAGCGATTGACTCAGAAATATTGCGTCTACTTATCCTATTTACACTTTTGTCCTTAACTAATTTTATTATTTACAAAAAACCTAATCCTAGTTGAGCAGCCGCAACATAATAGACACAGGGATTTCATCTCAAAGCTCTCTCTTCTCCATGTAATCCCTTCTCGAAACTCTCTTTCCTCCATGAAATCTTATCTCGAAGCTCTCTCTTCTCCATGAAATTTCATCTCAAAACTCTCTCTTCTCCATGGAATCTTATTTTGAAGCTCTCTCTTCTCCATAGCATCTCGAGCTAGACCATTGAGGTAACTGTCTCTCTCTGTTCTAAAGCATTTGGATTTCAAGCATCGTTGATGAATGTGTTGTGTGTTTGCTTTGTTTTTTTTCGTTCAGGCTCTCACTCTAAGCTTCCTCTTCTTCGTCGGTTTCAAGACGAGCTGTTCTGTAACCATGACAGGAGATTGGAGTTTAGAGGGAACAACGTGACGGCGTTATGGCCTGGGGATGGGAAACCTGGGCTGTGGATGAACCCTAACTCGAGGATGGGTGCTATCTATAGTTTGATTGTGGGGGAAGAAGAGATTTTGATGGAGCAGGGGAAAATAGATCCTGAGTTTGTGATTAGAAAGGAGAGAGATGAAGATATCGAGCTCATGGTGCCTCCAGTTTTCAGCTCCTCACTAAGGTATATGGTCTAGATCCCCAAAGTGGTCTTCTTTAATGAGTTTTGCTTTTGTTTATGTTTTGCATCGATTCTTGTTGTGGGTTTTACTTTGATCAGGTCTGGTTTTATGTCTGAATCTTGCTTGAGTGTTTTGATCTGATTGTTCTCTCATCTCTTTGGTAAGTATTAAGGGATACATGTAAAACTGATGGGCTTGTTTATATTCTTTTGCTAGGCTTTGGCGTGTTTTCAAGAAGTAACCAATAGATATTTACAGGAGAAACAAACGGTGGATGGAACTGCTAAAGCAACGTGATTCAATCCATTCATCTTTCTCTGTGGTTAAGACACCAAGCGGTAGCAACTTGAGCAATGGAAGTAGCAGCAAAGCTCAGGGAGATGAATTGAAAGGTGATGGGGATAGTGTAGGTGGATTTGTGGGTCTTATTGGTGACTCTTTCACTGAGGATAGCTACACATATAGGCATATATATATATATATATATATATATATATATATATATATATATATATATATATATATATATATATATATATATATATATGTGTGTGTGTGTGTGTGTTTTTATTGAAATGGTTTTAAGGAAATGCAGAAAGCTCAACTTGAGAATGGTGTTGAAGTGCATGCAAATGCATTATTGATTCATTGTTTTGTTATATTTATTTTTGACAGATTTGTCATTGTTTACAACACTTCCCTATAGATAATGGACATCAAGTGTGTAATTTTCTTTTTTTTTCCAAACTGAAATTCATTCATACGAAAAATATTAGTATTCATACAAAAGTTGACAGTCAAACGAAATAGCTTCTGAACTAAGAGCTTTTAAGAAGCAACAACCAGAATCCACATTAACAAAAAAAAATAAACTACATAAAAATTTCGAATACAATAAATATAAATTACTTTGATATATAAAAGTATATTAACATATAAAAGTATAATAATTTATAATCATGTTTTTGGTAATTAAATAAAAACAATCATATTAAATAAAAACTAATATCATGTTTTATTTATAAGATTAATGATAAAAATGTTCTTAAATTAGTATATCTGAGTAAAAATTTATTACCAATTAAATTTAATATTTTGGTGGATGTAAAATATACTTAAACTGCATTTTATTTAATTACAATAAAATTTGACAAATTTAAACTACATTTTATTTATTTAAATACAATTTTACAATTTTTTAAAATTAAAACATGAATTAAATGAAAATAATTGCAGCGTCTGCCAAACGAACATCATAAATCATTTTCTTGCGTCTTCGACTGCGTCTGCGTCAATGTCTTGCGTCTATTAAACAAACACAACTCTGCGGCTGCGGTTGAGTCTGCATATGCGGCTGCGTCTGCGTCTGCGAAACGAACAAAAACCAAATGAACAGACGCAGCCACAACTGCAGACTCAGCCGCTGCCGCAGCTGCAGAAACCTGCGGCAACCAAACGAACAGGGCTAAAGACGATTCCATTTCCACCAGTATATGGGAAAGTAATTACATCTACGCAGCGGAGGGATAGACCTTCTAAAGTGCTCGCAAGATTAGACGAAAGGAATTAAGAAGAACAAAGGTCTTCACCTCGTATTAGAGACCGACACGAACTAAACAAGAGGTCGCTATCCACGTTTCTTCGTCGCCATGTTATGACTACATGTTTGGTGAAGAACGTGAATTCTCCCTACAAAATTTGATACAATACTGTATTAAGCCAATCAGAACTCTTTATCTAAATTGTTCATAAACGACGTCCCACAAGAAGACCAACCAGAATTCTCATAAGAACCAATAAACTCGATTTTCGTCCGAACGACAAACTCGACGTTCTGTTCAAGACCGGTGAAATATATTTCACCCTGAAATGACTATAAATTTGGTCATCGTATATTTGAACAAAGGTTAATATTCACTGGACTCCCATGAAGAACTAGCAAACTGGAGAACCACAACTGCTGGCACCTTTCTCTCACAAAGCAACGAAGAAACAATCAATCAAAAGGACAGAACAAGAGCTCGGAAGCTAAAACCGTAAACACCTTTCCCTATGACGACCTCTCCACTTTCCGTAAAAACACGAACTCTTAAAAACCTCTCTGGTTCAACAAGTGAAACAACGAAAAAGAAACAATGTTCTATGGAATCATTACACCTACAAGGCGAACAATCAAACAGCTAATATTGTTTGAGGAGAAGAAAAGATATTCAATTCTTTATATCTGTTGCTCGAAGTAAAAACGACGTCCCCATATCTACTAAAAGTGAGACATGAAAATCTTGCTTTTGTTATGACAACGAATAAAGACACAAACTCTTTCTCCAATATTTGATATGATGAGATCACGATGAACGAAACATCTTGCTCCAAACAAAACTGATGTCTCGCTCGAGACTGATAAAGCCAGCATCTTGCTTGATACATATGAGAGGAACGTCTCGCTGAAAACGAAACTGATGTCTCGCTTAAGACTGATATAACCAACGTCCCTTTAGAAATGGTAATAATAAACTACATTAGACCCTATCTCATATTGACCGAGAAACGAGTAGAATAGAGTATTCTTCGCGACTTCGCCAGCAAGGGAACACCAACTTTTCATCCTTCAACCTCGTCACCTCACTCGAAGGAACAAATAAGCTGCATTTATCACCAGATCTCTCCCACTAAAAAAAAGCCATTAGCGATCTCCCCACCTATGAATCACCGCGAAGAAGAAAAAGGCAGGTATTGATGCTTAAAAAAAAGAAATACAGAGACATATTTGTTGAAACCGAGCATCTTTTTGAGGAGAGGACAAACCCCATTCTCTTCCACCTAAAACGAACAAGAACTCATGAGATCAAAAAGGAAGAAGACACTGTCCTGTTCTTTTAATCATCATTCAACTTTGGAATTAATGAGAGATCGATCTCTCACGTTGTAGGAGATGGGTTGTACCCCTCCACAAGGCCCATCAAATGAAAAAGCTTAGCCCGATGTGACGATGTATTAGGCCCATTAGACGTGTAAGAAACGGCTCGGCTTCGGGGCGCCTCTAGTAGATCGGCTAAAAGCGCTTCGCAGGAGTCCGCAGAAGGACGTTCTATCCGGGCTACTAAACAGGCCCAAAGAAACCGAAAGCCCAACAAGGCTTGGGCGAATTGTTGGGGTCAAAATCGGTACGACTGAATCAATATCCAAACATTTCCGTAAAAAAATACTAAATACGTTTTATAAAACTCGCCAAGCTGTTTTATAAAACTCGAGGAATCATTTTATAAAACTCGAGAAGTCGTGTTATAAAATTTGAGAAGTCGTTTTATAAAACTCGAGAAGTCGTTTTATAAAACTCGAGAAGTCATTTTATAAAATTCTAATATGTTTCCGAACAAAGGAAATCCGCAGAAACTCGGAAATCTTTATAAAGAAAGAACGAAACAAACGCCGTTTACACGATCTTTCGAGTTAAGCACAAAACCGCAAAAAACCGCATCAACCGTAAACCGCGAGCTGGTTCGGCCGAACTAGCTCGCCGTACGGCAAGCTATCTCGACCAAAGATAGCTCGCAAGACTAGGGTGTCCTGTATAGCTCGCCGTACGAAGAGCTGAACCGTTTTGGTTCGGTTCGTCGTACGTCGAGCTAATTATCCCAAGCCTCGATCTCCCACATCCTCGATTGAGGTCCTACGTCCTTCGGCACGACCATGTCCCGAACCACGGTCGAAATGTCTCACGTTTCTTCTCGATCCATCCTATCATTCGAGTTTTACGATAAAAACCATAAAGTCTTGTTTTCTCAAAAGAAATCAAGAAAATCGTATAAAACGGCAACGATTAAAAGAAACACCGAACAGTGCCTAAACTATACGATTTACTCGAGATTTTTCGTGAGAAATCATAAAAAACGCATTTTTAATAAAACTTCGAGTGAATCGTAGAAAACGGCAACGGTCAAACAAAACATCAAACATTGCCAAAATTTACGATTAACTCGAGAAACTTATTCAAAAACGGCATCGCATCAGGAAACGATCTTGTATAAAGTCGTAAAACGGTTTTATAGCAAAACGGCTCGAAAAGACCTTAAATGCGATAAAAGCCTATCTTGCGACTTTGACGAAGTCCAACCCGAAGATACGACAACGTTTTTATGATTTACTCATGGAAAGAAGATAAATGTCGAATCTGAACATCAATGTCAAGTTTGGAGATAAATAGAAGATTTCCGCGGGAAAAAGGAAAGATCAAATAAATGGAATATTCTCGATAAACTCGAATCAGGGCAAAATGGAAGGACCAAACCGCAAAGGAAGGGAGTATATAAGCAAGAGGCATAGGACAGAAGCAAGGGACAAGTTTTCAGAGCTTTCACCACCAAACTTAGCATTTGGGAATATTTTTGTTTTCATTATCGAGCTGCGTCTCAGCTAGGGTTTTAGTCTTAGATTGCTAGGGTTAGGATTCTCGCCGACGGCTTATGCCGCTAAGACTACTCTTGTTGTACCGTTCTCACGCGAATTCGGAATAAAACTTCTTCTTGCATTTAATCTCGTTTTTATTTTCTTTTTACTTAATCTCGTCGTGTTCTTAATTGCTTGTGTGCGGTTCCGCAGATAGTCGGGTCCTCTGGGAACTTAGGGTTTACTCAAAGTTCCTTTATTTACGATTTCTTGACAGTAGGATAATTTCGGTTCCCACAGTTTGGCGCTAAAAGGAGGGGGGGGGGGTCGGATCTATCTTACACTAAAGCCACAACACGCTCAATCGAGAAACGATGACATAAGAACAACAAACTCGCGAAAGCGACAACGTTGACAATACACCACTGCAAGATGTGTCCGCGGCTAACGCTACAAACGCTAACGTCGAGACCGTCGAAAAGATGCTCTCCAATTTTAACAAAAAATCGGAAGAGCAGGAAAAGCTCATTGGTTCACTCATAAAATAGGTCGAAACCCTAACTGCGAAAACCAGAGCGATTTGCCCCCGCAGAACTACTAGATCCGCGGAAGGAGGCTCAATTTCACGACTCCTATGGATCGCCCCAGAACCGAGAAGGGATACCAGACAGAGAAAGACTCCAAAAAAGATAACCCTGACGCGACGCTAAACGAATCGGAAAAATCTCCTACTCGCAAACAGGAGACCGAGGGAGACGACATCGAAAGGGTTAACCTGGAAACAAGCGACCAAGCCGACTCATCAGACGAGGACGCGGACGTCCATCCTAGGAGAAGAAAAACTCGCAGCCCTCTGCCAGAGTCTTCTCCCGAACGTTCTCTTACTGGAGACGAGGAGGAGCTCTATTTTGCGCAATGCGTGAAAACAACCGAGGAACGATCTCCGGTTACTCGCAGCAAACGCCGACGAGGTCGGAAAACTGCTGGCGAACTAACAGAGATTCGCGATCTCCGCAAGTACATTAAGAAAACGGCCGCAGCGGTAAAAGCGGTGAAATCTCAGATCCACCATGCTACC